GTTTGGGGGCATCTTTTGGGCTTCATGTATCTGAGGTATCTTGTGTTATGATCTCATTAAAGATTTTTAAACAATGTTCAAAGTTCTTTCTTTTTTTAACAAATCAGCCGACAAAAATAAAATAAAGTTCAGCTTTTCTTTGACTTAGTGGCTCTTGTTTTATTTTATTTTTGATGAACATACAAACACAGTTTTCTGTCCCTTTTGAATATATCAAAGAAACAACAACACACAAACCAAAATAAAAAGGAAACGAACAACAACAACAAAATAGAAAAACAAAACCAAAGTCAAACAAAGTGCCTACGTTATACCACGTATCAAACCTGGACCTCTGAGTAAATCACACTGCTACTGGAGTATCACATGTTTCACATGTCCAGTCATGTCTTTTATATAAGACTCAGCGGCTCTTAAAGGAACATAAAAGATAATAAAACAAGTCTTCTGAGTGTTCACGTGAATGTGCACGTCCTGTTTATCCTGCAGGGAAATGGGTCCGGCTTTCCTCTGCAATGACTTTGCTCTCAGGTCCCAAACTAAACTAAACTCTGGTCTTTGACCCCCGACAGCAGATTTAATGTCACATTCATAAAAAACACACGTTTCACTGCCAGATTTTTGTTTTCTAGATTTTTATTGATCAAAAGCAAGCCACTGACAAAAAGTGCATACAAGGATACCAGTTGTCTTCTTTTTAATATTTTGTGACCCAAATGAACAGCCGCCCCCCCCCCACTCCCCTATAGCCCATTCATAATTCAATTTGCGAAGAAAAGGGACAAGAGAAAACCACACACATATGAGATAAGAACTGAACCAGTGTGTGACAGTGTGGATATAAATGAAGAATGAATACAGAGAATAACAGACAAAAAAAGGGGAAAACGTCCCATGTGGACATCTTGCTTCCTCCTCATCACCAAAACAAGACCGTTGTGTTGGAGTGTCTAAAGGTAAGAAGCTCTCTCAGCTTTATCAGAACCCCATCATTCTTAAAGATTGTATTTTTCAGTTT